ATTTACAGACCAAAAACCACCATCCAATACTTGCAGAAGGAATCTTAACAATCTAGCAAATAAAATCCAGTAATAATCCATGTAATTGCATCGGAGAATAAACTATTCTATCAATTAACATCCAACACATGCATAGTTCAAATTTAATAAAATACTGACCCTATCATGTATTTACAATTAGTTCTATAATAATATTATAGTCCAATAAATCGCTAAATTAAACTAAGCGATCTAGTTTCCTCCATCCGGTAACAGAACACTAAGTCATATACTTATATTGTGTTGTATCCTTTAGCACAGAGCCCCCCTCTATGCCACCAGTCCAATATATTACTTTAAAAGACTTCATCATGCATCTAAAATAAATTTAAAATCATTTTATAACCCCCTAAACCATCAGATTAAAATTAATCAACAAATCTCCTTCCAGCCGTTAACTGTATGCAAAGTTGTCAAATAGCGTACTGTTAATTCCATTTAAACTAAGGGGTAAATTTATGCAATTCAAGACCTTAGTTACAAGTTAAAATGATTATTTAACACCCAACTAAAATTTTAAAACTGATTAATAACCCAGATTACCCAAACAGTGAACATAGTACCTAGAAAAGTTAAAAAACTTAAAATAAATCAAAAATAACAAGGGAGTCTGCTCCAGAATTTGGAGCAGGCTCTTTTCCAGCCTAGAGCCGGCTCTAGGACTTCTTAGAGCCGGCTCTACTTTGTTGTGGGAGCCGGCTCCCACTTCTATGGAGCCGGCTCTCACCTCCTTTGAGAGCCCCTGTCCCCGTTGTTTCGTTTCAGTCCGTCCGCTCCTTCTCTGATCAAATTCAACCACTCTGTTGGTCTCTAAAACTAATCTTAGGACTCTTAATTTAGTCTAGAAGCATTCCCCAAGATTGTTTACAATAGTTTTGCAAACAATTACAGAGTTTAATCAAGCCATTTAAACTAGCATAGTTGAAGAACAATACTGAAACTAAATTGCGACATCAGTTTTATCCCAACCCCTCTATTCTTCCTCCAATTTTAAATTTGAAGTCTTAAATTACATCTAGTATTCAATCATACCTCGGTTAATTTTAGTAAGATTCAAAATAAAAATTAAATCAGTGAGACGTTACGCCAAAACAGAGTCAAGGAGACATACGTGCTACCATTGTTTTGTAAATAAATTTCACAGATAAAACGATCAAGTAAAACATATATAAAACATGCATGGTTCAGTTTAAAGCCAATTAATCTCCTAGAGATGTCCAGGTGCACATAACACAAATCAAAGGGAAGGAAGAAGATAAGAACTTGCTTTTGAGTTTCAGACTTGAAACTCTAAATTCCCAGTTCTGTATTGCCCGTTCAATTCCCCACTGCTGTTCCACAAACCCACGTTCCTTCTACCTTGCTTCCACCTATCCTTCCTCTCCTATCTCTCTCTATTCTCCCTTTGTATCCCACGATCTCTGTTGTGTTTACAGAAATTACGTTTAATTCTTTTCAAACCCTAAACCACCGTGACACACATACTTATAGGCTTAGTGATTAAACCCTAATCCATGTAACCCTAAAGCCAGAGCCCATCTCGGCCCATAAACCGACCTAAGATAAATACCTACGTCGGCCACCTTATGTAAAATTTCAACCCTAAATTCACGTAAAGAACCAGAAAACTAAATTCCCTTAAATTTAAATTTTCATTAAATAAAATTGATTAAACAATTAAATAAACACAATTAAATAAATAAATAAAATTATATAAACAGTTACCAAAAACATATTAAGTAACATGACTGATTAAACAAATAAACCATTAAGCAATTAATTAAACCAAATAATGCACATACAACCAATTTAAACAAATGAAATAAAATAAATAAAAATGCGATTAAGACAATAAAATAAAGAAAAATGCAATACAATAAATATTAAAAATGCCGAGACTATACTTTTAAAATTAGGGGTATTACAAAAAGTGAAACGGTTATTAGGCAATTTTATTTATACCATTATTTTTAGGATAAATTATACTGATTTCTTTTAAGGTTTTGTCAATATACAATGATCTCTCACATTGTTTAAAATTACACTTTCTTCTTTTGTAATTGTTATGTAAATATACGTATCTCACCTTGTTAATGGTCAACGACTAAAAATTAATGACAATAAGCAATTTTGTAACTTTTAAAGTCTAATTTTATCATTATTGGAAGATATGTTTATTGCAATTACAATAAGGACAATAACCTAATGTCAAATCCTACAAATCTGATAGGGGAGGTGATTATAATTTGACAAACAAGATAAAGGGAAGGTGAATGTGTTACAGATGAATGTGTCTATAGTATATAAACGAATGTGTATATAAATGAAACATCATTGGAGTCGGGATAATTTACCTATTTCTAACATGTCTTCGTATGTTATAATAGAATCTTGCCCAGTCTAAAACCTCATCAACAATCATCTAAACTAGTTTATAACACGCGCTTTCTGTAGCTGGTTTATTTGGAAGGCCCGTAATCTACTTGTTTTTAGTGGGAGATTTGGGACGGTTAAAGGGTTGTTTGTTTGGCTTGTTCTCATTTTTGGGAGTTTAAGGATGCTTCCAACCAGTAATTGCTAAACTTACAGCAAGATGTTCTTAAGTAATTCCTAAAGTGTGATTTGTCTTCCCCCACAAGATGGTTGCCTCCTCCGGAAGGTATTGTTAAATGTAACGTCAATGCGTCATTTTCTCATTCTTCCCATTTTGGAGAAGGATGAGCTGTTTTTCGAGATTGTAGGGGCAATATTTTGCAGGCTGTGATTTTTAGTCCGTTTCCTGCTTGTAATACTACTTCAGCAGAGGCCATATGTCTTCGAAAAACAGTCATTTGGGCTTTGAATTGCAAATTTACTAAGGTATGATTTGAATGTGATTCTTTAATTGTTATCAAAGCACTGTCTAGAACTGATCTCGCGCTCATGGATATTCAAGCAATTTCCTATGTTATCAAGTTGGCGCTTCGAAACTTTTTCTCGTCCCGTCTTAGCCATGTCCATCGGCATGGCAACGAGAGTTGCGAAGCTTTTTAAGAGTCATATTATTAAGGATATTGTGTTGGGTTTTAAATAAATAATCCACAGGTAGAAATCAAGAATATTATAATTAATTAAATAGAGAATTTAGACTCGTACCTGATTGATGATTAATACACAAACACTTTTAGAATATCCATGTAATCCTCTATGAGTTCTTGCAAAACATTAGAGCGCTTTAGCTCGTCAGTGTGGTAGCCTGACAGTGTCTCTCGCACCCGTCCACGGCACACCCGCTCACAAGGTCATCACAATCCACCCCCCTTGGAGGCCCGACGTCCCCGTCGGCACACTTCCGGCTGGGTCAGGCTCTGATACCATTTGTAACGACCCACTCTACCACATGGTATGATATTATCCACTTTGGGCCTGAGCCCGCACGGTTTTGCTCTTGGGATTCACCCCAAAAGGCCTCATACCAATTGAAGGTGACACACTTACATATAAGCACTTCACCTTTCCTCTACCCAGGCGATATGGGACTGTGCACCCTTAGCTCGCCAGTGTGGTAGCTTGACAGTGTCTCTCGCACCCGTCCACGGCACACCCGCTCACAAGGTTATCACACGATAGGACTGAATAAGGGTTTTAAAACCCTTATATATAACAACAACAGGGAGTGAAACTATCCACCCTGCGGGAACAAATAAAATGCCATCTAAAATCACCTTGTGGCAAAATTTAGATTTTACTTTACCTCCCCAACCTGCGATAAAATCACACATAGACCTATGTGATTATACTTGAATTACTGTTAAACACTTACACTACCTTTTGGCAAGAGGGTTATTTAGTTATAATTCAAGAACTTTCAAATATTCTATTCACTTATCCCACACTAAGACATTGATCACCTTTTGACAGAACAAACGCCCTTATGTAAGTAAGTACACTGTAAGACCTCAATAAGACCAATGCCTTAAAAATTTAATAAAATAATAACCTCCATGAGCGTGTCATCTTTTGGTAGGCAGCACCCACTTTAGCTATTACATTTGAAACGGTCACTTTACCGGTCTTCCTAAACCTCAAGGAAAAACCTAAACTGAAGTTCCATTTATTTAAGTTAAACAATTTCTTTATAATGCACATAAACTAAACCCAAATATTATGGAACACTTAATTTCACCGTAATATAAATAGCTTTAACATAAATAATATTAAGCCTCCTCAACATATCAAGAAATTACAGTGAATAATATAATAACATGCACATCAATCAAGATTTAAAATCTTAATGCTTTATATACTTTAATTAAAATAAAATAAAATAACAAAACTTGATGCATGTATATTATATATTCTGTAAACAATTTAAAATACTCAATTCTTTAAATCAATCAAGTTAATACTATTTGTTTATGGCACATAAGTCCTATAAGTTGTTTAATTTAAAATTAAACAAATATCATGAATTACTTAATAAAAGTACTCAACATAAAGCATGGCTAGATGGCCACACAACTTCATATTAAACTAACATTTATTTATACATGTAATTCAAGATATGTAACTCATATTGATACACATAAAATATTATATTTTAGTAAATAATAATAAAAATATTAATCAATCAATTCTCCTCCTCCTCCAACTCGTAGGAATACAACCACGAATATACTACATGTATCACAACATACTTTGGATTGAATATCATATTAATTAAAAAATTCAATCAAACTTAATACTTGAAATCTTCTTAAATAAGATATTAATGAACATATGTAATCCTGTCTATATATAAATAGATATGAAAATTCATTCAACATAGATGGCAAATCCAAATTGGAATTATAAATTCAAATATTTAGAATTTTCTTTTTAATTTGGTTTCAAAAGAACAATTAGGTTTTGATGGTGAAGAGAAGCTCATTGCAACTCACTCTAAGGGCCGCTAAAGAGAGGACACAATCCAGCTTAAGCCCTTAAGCTCTGTTTTCTTGTTGCTCTGACAAGCCAGCTAAACCTCCACGAATCATTTGGTTCGTGAAGAACTTTATGAGTGCCCACTCACCACCTGACCCAATACAATTACTATTGGAAGTGGTCACAGTTATAGGGCTCCAATCAAACCATCAATTCACTACATCGAACTGTACCCAACCTATTCAAACTTTTCTACGCCTTAATGCTCCTACTTGGGTCACAAGCTAAAGTAACTAAGCCCAGCAAAAGTAAACATATATAGATATATGTTTCCTCATTCGGCGTGCAGACTTTATAAAGAAAATAACTTATTCACTGCAAAACAGATTATGGTATTTAAATAGAGCATGTGATTCATTGTATAACAAAGACAAAGACAAAGACAAAGACAAACTGATGATGAATTGCAAAAAGATTTCATCCAAAACCAAAATCTTGTTTGGCGTGCACACTTGATAACAACATACAAAGGAAACCAACTGATATATATCTATATCTATACTATTATTAAATGTGCAAAGTGTTTCAGTGTTTTAGTATTTCAGTATTTATTTATTTATATAAAAAAAATATTTATTAATTGATATAAAAATTGTTTTTGTAAAAATAGTTTCTATAAAACTTTAAAAATTACCTAATAAAATCAATCACATTCTATATAAAACTCTTATTTTTAATTATTTTTTATGGATAATTAGAGTTTCTATAAAACTCTAAAAATTACCTAATAAAACTAATCACATTCTATATAAAATTCTTATTTTTAGTTATTTTTTTATAAATTATTATCACAGTATAACCGGCTCGGCCCAATTATGATTGTGTCATTGTCAGAAAAGGACACATGTCATCATCCTATTCATCCAAGAAGCCTATAAATAGAGACATGGAGGAAGGAAGAAGGGGTACAGAAATTAAGAATTCTAGAAATCCAAAATTCTAGAGTAAAATACAGAAGCTCTGCCAAAGAGAGTAAAATACAAAAAATCTGTCAAGAGTTTTCAGTATTTATTTATTTATATAAATTTTTTTTTATTAATTGATATAAATTTTTTTTTATCTATATTATTATTAGATGTGTAAGGAGTTTCATTATTTATTTATATAAAAAAATATTTATTAAATGATATGAAAAGAGTTTTTACTAAAACAAAAAAAAAAAAATCTATAAAACAGTAAAATCTACATAATAAAATTTAAATTAACCTATTTATCTATTTATTATTATCCATTTTTAATAAAAGAAAATCTAATTAGACAAGATTTATTAATATAAAAAATATTTATTAATTGATATATAAAATAAAATAATTTTTATAAAACTCTACCACAAATTAGCTTTTATTATGAGTATCTTAATAAAATTAAAACTAATTAGACAAGTATATATTTAAAGAAAATAAAATAATTTCAATAAAACTCTATTACAAATTACCTATTTTATTATTAATAAAACTCTATCAACAAAGATATATTTAAAGAGTTTGTATAAAACTCTAACACAAATTACCAATTTATCAATTTATTATGAGTTTTTTAATAAAAGAAAACCTAATTAGACAAGTATTATTAATATAAAAAAATTATTTATTAACTGATACAAAATGAGGTTTTTAAAGAATTTCTAAAACACAAATTACCTATTTATCTATTTATTTTGAGTTTTTTTTACCAAAAGTAAATCTAATTAGACAAGAAAATATAATTATACAAGATTTATTAATATAAAAAATATTTATTAATTGATATATAAAATAAAATAATTTTTATAAAACTCTACCACAAATTAATTTTTATTATGAGTATCTTAATAAAATTAAAACTAATTAGACAAGTATATATTTTAAGAAAATAAAATAATTTCAATAAAACTCGATTACAAATTACCTATTTTATTATCAATAAAACTCTATCAACAAAGATATATTTAAAGAGTTTGTACAAAACTCTAACACAAATTACCAATTTATCATTAGTTTTTTAATAAAAGGAAATATAATTAGACAAGTATTATTAATATAAAAAATTATTTATTAACTGATACAAAAGGAGGTTTTTAAAGAGTTTTTAAAACACAAATTACCTATTTATCTATTTATTTTGAATTTTTTTTACCAAAAATAAATCTAATTAGACAAGAATTATTAAAATAAAAAAAATTTATTAATTGATATAAAAAGAGTTTTTAAAAGAGTTTATATTAAACTCTAACACAAATTACCTATTATTTATTTATTACAAGTATTTTAATAAAAGAATATCTAATTTACCTAATAAAACCAATCACATTCTATATAAAACTCTTATTTTTAGTTTTTTTTTTATTTATAGATAATTATATTTTTTATAAAAATCTAAAAATTACCTAATTAAATCAATTATATTCTACATAAAACTCTTATTTTTAGTTATTTTTTATGGATAATTATCACAATATAACCGACCCGCCCAGTTATGATTATGTTATTATCAGAAAAAGACACATGTCAGTATCCTATTCATCCAAGAAGCATATAAATAAAGGTATGAAGGAAGGAGGAAGGGGTACAAAAATTGAGAATTCTAGAAATCTAGAATTGCAGAGTAAAATACAGAAATTCTGCTAAAGAGTTTCAGTATTTATTTATTTATATAAAAAAAATATTTATTAATTGATATAAAAAGAGTTGAATTTCAGAGTAAAATACAGAAACTCTGTCAAAGAGTTTGAGAATTTCAATATTTATTTATTTATATAAAAAATATTTATTAATTGATATAAAAGAGTTTTTACCTATACTCTTATTAGATGTGGACAGAGTTTGAGAATTTCAATATTTATTTATTTATATAAAAAATATTTATTAATTGATATAAAAGAGTTTTTATCTATACTCTTATTAGATGTGTAAAGAGTTTCAGTATTTATTTATTTATGTAAAAAAATATTTATTAAATAATATAATAAAACACTAAAATCTACATAATAAAATTTAAATTAACCTATTTATCTATTTATTAGTATCAATTTTTTAATAAAATAAATCTAATTAGACAAAATTAATAATATAAAAATATTTATTAATTGATATATAAAAGAAAATAATTTTTATATAACTCTACTACGAGTTTCTTAATAAAATTAAATCTAATTAGACAAGTATATATTTAAAGAAAATAAAATAATTTCTATAAAACTCTATTACAAATTACCTATTTTGTTTTCCATAAAATTCTATCAACAGAGTTTCTATAAAACATAACACAAATTACCTGTTTATCTATTTATTATGAATTTTTTAATAAAAAGAAACCTAATTAAACAAGTATTATTAATATAAAAAATTATTTATTAACTGATACAAAAAGAGATTTTAAACGAGTATTTAAAAAACTCTAACACAAATTACCTATTTATCTATTTATTATTAGTTTTTTTAAAGAAACTAAATGTAATTAGACAATAATTATTAAAATAAAAAATATTTATTAATTTATATAAAAAGCGTTTTTAAAAGAGTTTATATTAAACTCTAACACAAATTACCTATTTATTTATTATAAGTTTTTAAATAAAAGAAAATCTAAGTAGACAAGAATTATTAATATAAAAAATATTTTTAATTGATAAAAAAAATAAAATAATTTTTTTAAAATTCTACCACAAATTACCTTTTATTATGAGTTTTTTTTTTTTTTTAAATAAAAGCTAATATAATTAGATAGGAATTATTAAAATATAAAAATATTTATTAATTCTTGTAAAAAGAGTTTAAAAATAATTTCTATAATACTCTAACACGTATTACAAATTATAATTTTTTAATAAAAGAAAATATAATTTTCAAACTAAAATAAAGTTCTACCAAAGTGTTTCAGTATTTATTTAATTATATAAAAACTATTTATTAATTAATATAAAAAAAGATTTTACCTATATTACAATTAAATGTGCAAAGAGTTTCAGTATTTAAGTATCTATTTATAAAAAAATATATTTATTAATTGATATGAAAAGTATTATTATTATTTTTTTTTAAAAAAAAAACTCTATCAAACTCCAAAATCTATCTAATAAAATTTAAATTAACCTACTTATCTATTTATTATTATGAATTTTTTAATAAAAGAAAATTGAATTAGACAAGAAATATTAATATAAAAAATACTTATTAATTGATATATAAAATAAAATAATTTTTCTAAAACTTTACTACAAATTAACTTTTATTATGAGTTTTCTAATAAAATTAAATTTAATTAGATAAGGCTATATTTAAAGAAAATAAAATATTAAATGTGCAAAGAGTTTCAGCATTTCAGTATTTATTTATTTATATAAAAAATATTTATTGATTGATATAAAAAGAGTTTTTATAAAAATAAATAAATAAAAGAAAAAAAAAACTCTATAAAACTCTAAAATCTACCTAATAAAATTCAAATTAACCTATTTATCTATTTATTATTATGAATTTTTTAATAAAACTAAATCTAATTTTTCAGTATTTATTTAAAAAATATTTATTAAATGTGAAAAGAGTTTCAGTATTTCAGTATTTATTTATTTATATAAAAAAATATTTATTAATTGAAATGAAAAGAGTTTTTATAGAAAAAAAACTTCTATAAAACTCTAAAATTTACCTAATAAAATTCAAATTAACCTATTTATTATTATGAATTTTTTAATAAAATAAAATCTAATTTTCTGAGTAAAATACAGAAGTTGTGCCAAGGTGTTTAAGTATTTATTTATTTATATAAAAAAATATTTATTAATTGATATAAAAAAAGTTTTTATCTATAGTATTATTACATGTGCAAAGAGTTTCAATATTTAACTATCTATTTTTATAAAAAAGAATATTTATTAATTGATATAAAAAGAGTTTTTATAAAAAAAAAAAAAAATGTCAATCAAACTCTAAAATCTATCTAATAACATTTAAGTTAATCTATTTATCTATTTATTATTATGAATTTTTTAATAAAAGAAAATCTAATTAGACTAGAATTATTAATATAAAAAATATTTATTAATTGATATTTAAAATAAAATAATTTTTCTAAAACCCTACCACAAATTAACTTTTATTATGAGTTTCTTAATAAAATTAAATCTAATTAAATAAGGATATATTAAAGAAAATAAAATAATTTTTATAAAACTCTATCACAAATCACAAATCACAAATTTTATTTTCAATAAAACTCTATCACAGTGGACAAAGATATAATATTTAAAGAGTTTCTATAAAATTTTAACTCAAATTTTCTATTTACATATTTATTAAGTGTTTTTTTAATAAAAGGAGATCTAATTAGACAAGTATTATTAATATAAATAATTATTTATTAATTGATCTAAAAAGAGTTTTTAAAAGAGTTTCTATAAAACTATATCACAAATTACTTATTTATCTATTTATTATGAGTTTTTTTAATAAAAGAAAATCTAATTAGAGAAGCATTATTAAAATAAAAAAATATTTATTAATTAATATAAAAAGAGGTTTGAGAAGAGTTTCTATAAAACTCTAACACAAATTACCTATTTATCTATTTATTATGAGTTTTTTAATAAAATGAAATCTAATTAAACAAGAATTATTAATATAAAAAAATATTTATTAATTGATATAAAAAGTGTTTTTTTAAAGAATTTCTATTAAACTGTAACACAAATTACCTATTTATTTATTTATTATAAATAGATTTCCTGAAAATATAATAATTTCTATAAAACTCTAACACAAATTATCTATTTTATTTTCTTTAAAACTCTATTACATATAACTTGTTTTGATCTATTTATTGTGAGTTTTTTGACGAAGGAAATCTAATTAGACAACGATATATTTAAAGAAAATAAAATATTTTTTTAAAAGAGTTTATATAAAATTGTAATAAAAATTACCTATTTATGTATTTATTATGAATTTTTTTAATAAAATATAATATAACTAGACAAGAATTATTAATATAAAAAATATTTAGTAATTGGTATAAAAAATAAAATAATTTTTCTAAAACTCTAACACAAATTATCTTTTATTATGAGTTTTTTAATAATAAAAAAATCTAATTAGACAAGGATATATATATGTAAAGAAAATTCATAATTTATATAAAATTCTACTACAAATTACTTATTTTATTTGCAATGGAACTCTATCACATTAGATAAGGATATATTTAAATAGTTTTTGTAAAACTCTAACACAAATTACCAAAACTTTACCACACATTAAGTATTTTATTTTCTTTAAAACTCTATCACATATAACCTGTATTTATCTATTTATTTTGAGTTTTTGAATAAAATAAAATCTAATTAAATAAGGATATATTTAAAGAAAATAAAACAATTTCTATAACTCTGTCACATTAGATAAGGATATATTTAAAGAAAATATATTATAATATAATAATACATATAAATAAAATATAAATGTTAAAGAATTTGAACATTTCAGTATTTATTTTTTAATATAAAAAATATTTATTAATTAATACAAAAAGAGAACTCTATCACATATAAGTATATAACCTTTGTATTTATTTATTTTTTATGAGTTTTTTAATAAAAGAAAATCTAATTTTACAAAGATATATTCAAATAAAATAAAATAATTTCTATAAAATTCTACCACAAATTACATATTTAAAGAAAATAAAATATAACCTAGGGTCTTCCAAAAACCACAAACTCCATATAATAAATTTTTATATCAATTTCAATCTAATGTATAATTAGTATAATTGAATTTCTATTTTAAAATTTAATTAAAAATTAATATAATTGAATTTCTATTGTAAATTAAAAATTATACTAAATTTCAAATTATCTAATAAAATTCAAATTACAAATTAGCTAATAAAATTCAAATTACTTAAAAAAATTTGTTACTTTGCAAAACTCAAATATTTCACTATTAAAATAAAAAATTATTATTTAATAAAAAATAAAATATACATATTTCAGTATTAATATAAAAACATAAAAGAATTTATTAATTTACGAAACTTAAACTCTATCACCAATTTCAAAATATTTCAGTGTTTATTTATTAATATAAAATAAATTTTTATTAATTAATATGAAGACAAAAATTTTATAAGTTATAAAATATTCACCACGTGTATGTGGCCTTTCCTAGTATATATATATATATATATATATATATATATAGAGAGAGAGAGAGAGAGAGAGAGAGAGAGAGAGCATGTGATTCATTGTATAACAAAGACAAAGACAAACTGATGATGAATTGCAAAACAATTTCATCCAAAACCAAAATCTTGTTTGGCGTGCATACTTGATAACAACATACAAAGGAAACCAACTGATATATATATATATATATATATATATATATATATATATATATCAATTGATTGCTTAAAAACCAACATTTAAATTATTTATTTATCCTGCCCTGAATTTAAAATAATATATATAATGTGTATTTAATTCACTGATCTTGATTTCTACTAACCCTAACCTTGCTCTAATACCAATTGTTGGGTTTTAAATAAATAATCCACAAGTAGAAATCAAGAATATTATAATTAATTAAATAGAGAATTTAGACTCGTACTTGATTGATGATTAATACACAAACACTTTTAGAATATCCATATAATCCTCTACGAGTTCCTACAAAACATTAGAGCGCTTTACCCCCTTCTTAGAATTGTCGATATGATAGGATTGAATAAGGATTTTAAAACCCTTATATATAACAACAACCGGGGGACGGCTTCTTTACAAACAAACATATTTAAGTCTCCCTTCCTATCATGAAAACTTATATATCAATGGTTAGAATTAAATCACACCAAATAAGTTAGAAAACCACAATCCAACCGTATAAAACCCTACTCTCAATTAGACCACCAAATTGGAAAGTACAACCCAATCCATCAACTATCAATAATCACATTACAATCCTATTTTAAAAAACGTAAGAGACCATAAAATAATTTTTTTTAGTTAAATATATATATAAAAATTCCAACATATTGCTCTCTCTGAAATCCATCAAGTATCAACATATTGCTCTCGCATTGGCAGCTAAAGATTGCTTGTAATGATCTTTGATCTCTGTCTTTGTATTTTTTAGGTTAAAAGAAAAAAACAATCATATAAACTATAGATTCCTTTACGGGGCATATTATTTTATTGTATTTTATTGTATTGTTATAATAGCACTGACCCGAATGACATTATGATTCTATAGGGTTCTATGATTCAAAAGCACATAGCCTATGTAAGGCTCTCACCAAATTTCATTTGGGATCTGGTGACATACTAAGTGTAGTGCATGTGATAGAATTTGAAGAGCTAGTAATGAAATCTGGTGACATGTATCATGAACAAAATTGATATTTATGTGATCGTTACTCATCTATCCCTCCCTCCCTACACATGGGGGATCATATATATTGTTCAAAAGTAAAAAATAAAAAATATTGAAAATATTGTCCGTACTCCAAATATTTAAACTCATGAACTCATAATTATTAGCCCAATAGAACAGGAACCACCAAATGCTCTAACCATTTATGTCTCCTTTGCATGTCAAAAGAGACAAGGTGAGAGTGGGAGTAAACTGAAAAAAAAAAAAAAAAAAAAAAAAAAAAAAAAAAAAAAAAAAAAAAACCCCAAAAGCAGCAGACTGTAAGTACAACTCACGTCTCGGTCAACAAATCCACTCTTATCAATATGAGCAAAGACCCCAAAAGCAGAGGCAATTAAAAGTAGGACTGCCAATTGAAAAGTCCAACACCAAATGGAGTGCAAGAAGACCCTTTTGGTGTACAAGAGGTCATATGCGAAGCTGAGCTCCATTTCCATCAAATTGCAGGCATTTGAGATGTCCATCTCTCTAAAAGGCCATCCTCGAGCTTGCTCATCCCCATTTACATACAAACAACAGTCGTGATATAAACAATTTTTGTATTTGTTGAAAGTTTGATAAGCAGCACATAGGGATCTTACTTCAATATTTGGGGAGGACACGTCTGGATGAGCAGGCTGGTCTTCACGTATGTCAATATGGTTATCGACTTCCACATTGCCGCGTCTGTTTGCAACAACAATATTAATATTGTTTGCAATATTGTGCATGATGTCTCTGATGCTTAGCCCGGTGTCGGGTTCCTTGAATGTGGATCTCCTCAACCCATCCATGCTTACACGTTTAAGCGCCCAAACGGGCTCACCAAATTTTAAGGTACTGGCAACGAACAAAGTTATGGAAGTGAAAAGAAGTTGTCTTTCACTGGAAGCAAGAATGCAGATTGACAAAGCGGTCATCACTCGATACACAAATCTAATAATGTGAGTCAGCCAGAACTCATTGTCTGCTAAAGAAAAGGCTGTGACTGTACTGTGAGTGGCTAGGTGAAGAAGAACGAGTGGTGCCCAGATGGCCAACAAGTACTTGTTTTGGGGACTAGCAGTGTCACTTTGATTTGGGTCCATGTTTACATGGAAAATGATTCCCAGAGAGAGTGTTGCCAGAAAGTCTATTGCAAGATAAATGGCAAGCCAAATGATTCTTAGACAAGGATGAGATGAACTTAATTTTAGAAGGTAAGGCCAAATGATAAGTGGTATCTGCAAGATGGTGCTTGATACGATAGAAACTCGCAGTTCCAAAACGTCGGCTATTCTCTTTACTTCTTCCATGTTTATGTGAGATTTTATAGCTGCATGGTTGTAGGAAGAAACGTGAGGCACCAAACAGAGATTGGCAGATTGCCAACAAAAAAAAAAGGACATAGAAGAACACCACACATAAAGGCATGCAATTTAACAGGGGAGGATCGGCTAACTATGCTATACCTCTAATTTTCACTTTAAACATTGATAATTAACCAAGTGAAATCTGAAAATAGATTAGCAGAATTTTCATATAAAGCTTCATCCAGAAACCAGAATGATATAGTACTGCCATTTTTATATTCAATTTCATGGACATTAATTTTAAAGTGTAGGATCCAAATATATAGCATTGTTTTGCATATAAAGAGACTTTTTGTATGGAAGCTTTGTTTATTTGGTATCTCCTTGAACTATATAATCAACACAATTTGCTGACATTATTGAAGGTAAGTGAAAACTAATATATACACACATACATATTGTAGAAATATATAAACCCCTTCCAGGATAGAAAACCCATAAATAACAAGCATGATCAGTTTCAGCTAGAAATGAAAATTAGTAGAGAATATATATCCATAATTTCACAAATAAATGAAAATTTAATGGAACAGCAAATTATAAATTTCAAACATTACTATTCATATTTTAACATTAACAGAAAAATGTATAACTGTTACTTTCGCCTGCATGTAATCACGTGACGAAATTAAAAATAAATAAATAAATAAATAAAAGGCCTAATAGGATACCATACCATAAGCTTGTACTTTGATATGGAGTAATGAGAAATGAGCTTGAAAACTGAAACTTGTGTTTTAAACACCGAAGAACAGACTTCGGAAGCTTAGTATTCTTTTAATGGAATACGGCTGAAATACCTGTTCACCTGATAGCGCACAGTGGATGGAAAGAGGGGAGAGAAAAAAGAAGAAGAGGATGGATGGATGGATAGATCAACATAAAATTCACAAACACAAACCTTTAGAGAGATCGAACCAAAACAACAAAAGAAAATGGTGGAGAAACCTCCAAAGGCGGAGCTAACTCTTCAGAAACATCAATGTCTGAATTTAAAAAATAAGGAGAATTAAAAACACTTATACGCTAGCCTAAAACAAAAATGAAGTTGTTTAGCCGGCACAGATTGATTAATTACATTTAGCAGAGATGAAGTTGCATCAGCAGAATGATTAATGAATTTTTATACTTTATTATATATAAAATTGATTGGTACAAGGTAGCTAACAATACTAATCATGAAAGCAAGTAAACATTTCAAAAAAAATAGCTTGCAAACCACATACATTATCTATACCTAAAGTTGACTTAAATCAACAAAATAAGAGGAGTACTCCAAAGCCATACCAACCGAGTTGCCCGCATGGTCTACTCTTTCTTATGGCCTGAACATGTCCATGAGAAAGGGGTCAGTAGAAACCATCTGATGAGTTACTTTCTTTAAATTCATCAACATATAATGGGTTAACTACATAACTTGAATAGTTGAATATTACTGTACTTTAATAGTATGTTTACTTCCATTAGGTCAAATTGCAGTAAGGCACTCAACCATCACTTTGTGACAAACTAAAAAAAAACCACTATATTATTAAAAAGTTGCAAATTGCCGCTAGCATAACAATCAAGAAAAATATTTTAATGTGTTGATGACAAATGAATAATATTTCTGATTCAAAATAAATATTTCTTTTTACATTCTTATTTATTTGTCGAGATATAATTGGTTGACAACATGTGTTCCGGTGCAACGAAGCATGCTCATTCTCTACAGGGCCTTAATGTCAACAGTAATTTACTATTTACAATCAAGCGAAAGACGGTACTGGATATACTTACTCCAACCCAATACTGCAATTGTTTGTTAGTTTCTGTAGAACTTTGAAATTGAAAAAATTATATATACGTATATATTGTTTGGGGGTTTGACAGTACCTTCCAAGAACGCCAGCATTTTAGTGAAGTGAGGTCCCAAACCCTAATTTGCCGATTGTGTGTGGAAGAGAAGAGGAAGTTGTCTTTAGGGTTTAGAGCAAGGGCTGTGATGAAAGGCATAAAGCTTGAGAGCCCATAGCCAACGAAAGCTAACATCTGAAAACAAGAATGACATCACTCCATTTGGAATAGAAACGAAACAAACAAAACAAAATGAAACCCAACAAATTTCAAATTGCGAGTGTTATTATGATTCTAGATTCTATTCCCTCCGTTCTGCAGTTCAGAAAACAAATGGATTTTTTTTTTTTTTTTTTTGCGCGGTCTCTTATCTTCTCCCTAATTTGTTGAAAACGTGAATAGTTTTTTAGGGATCTTTTATTCTCTAGTCTCTCTACAGCCGAATGGCTTTGAGTCTCATTTTTGCGCATTCCGAAGCATTATCGCCGCCGTGGATGATCGGTGTTGATTTTTCCGAAGAGGGAAGAAACGACCGCAAGGGGACTGACTCGATTGATAATAGGAGGAGACGGTGGTGAAGCGGCATGCGGTTTCGTCTGGGACATTTTGGTAAATTTGTATTAAATTGAACGTTTCATTGACCCAAGTTAATTTTATTTATTTTTTTGGCAATTTGAATTTTTTTTAAAAGCATAGAGGTGTTTTTTAATTGAGTCGATAGTTTAGGGATATTTTGCTGTAATTTGGCCTTTTTGATTATATAAAATGATAATAGGCCAAAGGATCAATTCTAATATTTATTTATTTATTTATTTATTTTTTCCTGAGTGAATTCGAATATTTTGTGTGTGGTTGGGTTAATGGGAGAATATGACAACTCTTTAATTAATTAATGTATTTTGATCAGAATTTTTACCAAAATTCATGGATTAAATTATGTCAATGTCCAGAGGTGATTAATTAGTACTACAATCATCTAACTATGATCCCAATAAACTAACATTCAAGTTATCTTGACATATTCAATTCAACTCTACAAAATGCTCTAGTCAAACTAAATAATTTATATTTTGTCATTCTACTTTATTATGATCTTTTTCTGTTGAACTTATCACTCCAACCACGAGTAAGCTGAAACTTGCAAGCCGTGCTTAAAATCTTTGAAAAACAAAAACACCTACGTTTCTTAAATTTAATTTGCTCCCTTATTAGAATTTCAAATTTGACAAGGTCAAACTCAAATATCAATAACTTACATTATACTCAAATGCATACTAAACAAACCGAGATTTAATTTAAACACTCAAAATAGACACAGAGTTGAATAGTTAATCCTTTTAAATATTTCTTTTCTTAAAAGTACCCACGCATGTAGCATAGAGTGACAAATATCTAATTGAATAAAAACAATTCTAATTCTCATTTTTGGTATTCAAAGCATTAGCTTCGTTGATTCTTAATTGGTACCCTTATTTTTTTTAAATCAAAAACAATTTTTTAATTAGAAATTTTAAAATAAAATAAGGAGACTTTATGCAGTTCTCCCCTTCCGAATTTGAACTTTGGGAAAAGTTGAGGAATGATCAATACAGCCTTTTCATCTTCAAGATCTTCAAGTTGAAGTTGAATTTGACTAGGTATCATGTTAAGCCCAAAATACTCACAAATCACAATCGTACCAAGCAGCTATAGAATTATACATCTATAGGTAATCACTTGGTAGTGCATTTTTTAATAAATTTTTATTATGCTTTAATTTCCTGTACTCTCATTTTGTAGCATATAACTCCCTCCAACCTATGTTCAGAAATAATTTCAGATGGTCTCTAAGTTACTACTACAACAGAAGTGCCCTGAAAGTGTCATCAAAGAAGCAAGCCTTTTTATGTATTTCTAGAGTAATTCTGGCTCAGCAACTATCTTTCCCCAAAATCTCAACATGTATAAGGACAAGAGTTTGTTTCGCACTGACCCAATTGCACTAACTAATCTGAAAACAGACTGATGAAATGCTGAGCAGACTTGGACTATTAATAAAACCAAGGGATTCAGATGCTCTGAAATCAACATTGAATAGCTCCCAACACTTACAAACCAAAGTCCGCTTCAGCTCGCTTTAGCACAGACGTCACCCTCGTGAAAAATTCTGGTTCTTTTTCCTCTATATCTTCAAGTGTCCTCGACTCGTGTTCATCAGCCTAAGGGGAAAAAGAAAATACACAACTTTGGTTACAATTGTAAAGAAGAAATTAAAAATGAAAGTAGAAGATGCAACTGTAATTTAACAAAGACAACACAACTTCCTGTGTAATAATATGTTGTGCAGACTACAATGAAATCATTCGCATCTTTAAAAAAATATCACACCAGCACATTGCATTTTCATGTGAATCAATTTACCTTGATAAAGCTAATCTATTTCGAGTCTCCATTTAGTTCAAAAACTTATCAATTGCTTGTTGTTGGTTGTTTTAGTAGGAAGACAAAAAATTAACAGACATTATTAAAGGGGGAAAAATTAAAGGAGACCGCTTCTAGTGTATCCTTCCAATAATAAGCTTTCCAATCATTAACTTTCATATATGTAATTGTGTATATATAAATACATATGCATAAAAGGTTACTGGTTGGTGCAGTTGTAAAACTCAACTCATCAAGCATGAGAGGACAATACGTAACGATCATTCTATACATTTATATTCAATTAATAAGAAATACCTCCTTAAATCTAAGAAGGATTAAGTTTGACACAGATGCTGGCTTTGCCTGGTCCCACCTGAAAAGTTACCATGGGCAAAATAAAACGAGTGAAATACGATATGACATCCACCATGAAAGAAGCATCAAACTTTGCAGAGAGAAACAGTTGTATATGTGACAAAGATACAGGTACCATGGTAACATACAATGAGATACAACTGATGCTATTCAACAAATCATATCAGAAACATTCAGGATGCTTGGTAAATTGCTCGATTACATAGACCTTTACTGTAATTGCTATAATCTAGGCAATTAATTTCCATAACACAAAACTAAAATCAATCTGGAGACAGAAGACTAGACTTAACCATTTTCAGTTGGGCTTCCTTACCAATTTTGAAAAATAGTAGTTCTTTTGCATAAGTTCTGGGTCCCGAGTTTTAAAAGAAGTTTCAAACCAGAGGGAAATACAAAGTTGAAAAACAGTATATGACTTGAGCAGTATTGATATGTTGAAGCAATAAAAAATAGAAATTTGCCAACGATGACAGGAGTAGCCACCTTCAACATCAGATCAGCAGTTGAAAGACCTCATTACCTTTCAATGATACCAAGTTGCAATTACTTCGTTTCACCATGATTTCAAGAATTTTTATTATCCACCATCAAGTCACACCCGTAGCTGGCAATAAGCATTCGGCATCCCCACGCTATTGGCACTAAACAAATCATCACTTCCACAATGGTCAAAATCCCAGTGCTCTCTTTCCATACTATCGATTTTCTTTATCAACTCTCTTTCTCACTTTAATTGTCTCTATTATTTGTCAATTCTTCTAGATTTCTCTTCCTCCCATCATCAATCTCTCTCTACGAGTTTGTTCTTCTACAGAACCTCTCAATTCATAAATCTCTCACACTAAAAACTCTCAGAGAAACCTCTCTAAATCATCCATTCTAAAATTTTGAACAGTCGTGAATGAACAAGAAAGAAGTAACCAGGAAGGATACATAGGAGAAGTAGAATGATACAAGTCCAAATAAATTTATTTTATTTTATTTTTTGAAGCAAGCTTGGATTATATATCATCAACAAATCATATATAACCTCAGCTAGCTTACCAAAAAAAGAAGACGACTTATTTGGCCTTCATTAATCTTTGACACAGTTACTTATCAAAAAAAAAATCTTTGACAAAGTCAAAAATCAAAATAATGGTGAGGAAACTCTTCTAACAATCATGCGCTCGTCATATGAAACTGTATGTTGGTTTTATATTTTTATTGATGGCCATCCACGAGGGGGGAAATTTATGAAACATACTCAGCCCTTCTCCATTCTTTTTCTTTATTCTCATTTATTTATTTTAATGCATTTTAAAGTTCAGGGGTTGATAGTGAAACAGACTCAATAATGCAGGGTGTGCAAGTATAACTGACCATCTAATTGGGAGTGTGAAAGTTCTATTTAATGTTCCAGTGAAATGCGCTGCTTTTATCAGCGAAAGTTCACTATCTCTTGCTGGTGTCAAAATGTCAAGACAAGAAGTCGGTAGCTATTTAAGTCGCATGCGGAGTGATGTTATTACAAAAAATTTATATATAAGAAAGATAAAGCAGCTTATATGATTACCATACGTCTCCAAACAATTTGTGTTTTTTGCCAAGCTAAGCTTTAGCAAAAGAACTTTTGAATGCCTAATTGTAAAAGGTGACAGTTCAAAAGTGTTAGCAGATATGATAACCACGATTTATGGAATGACTTACCGTATTAGTAGAGATTTGATTATGCTATAGAATATGCCATAGAATATGCTAATAGAATATGTCATAGAATATGTTGTGATTTGATTTATATTTGATTTAATTTCCTTTCTTATAATATGAGCATTTGCTCCTTTTATCTATAAATACTAGAGCTGTGAATGAGTGATAATCTCATTCAAGTCTTTACACAATTCTCTCCTTCTTTTTATATTTCTACTTGGTATCAGAGCCAGAGTAGTCCAACTGCAATGAGAGCCTTGCGAATTCGGCACCATCCATTCAGGAATGGTCTAAGGTAACGTCGCCCATCCGGGAGGTGTCAGGTAGGCAGGGCGTTCCGACCTCAATGAGGGCGTTGTGAGTTTGGCACCAATTACTCAGAAATGGTCTGAGGAGACATAGTTGTTTCTTTTTATGGTCTGAGGAGACATTGTTGATTCTTTCATCTATATTGTTTAAACATATGTATGAAGGGGAATTGTTTGAGGAGACATTGTTGATTCTTCCATCTACATGTTTTAAACATGTGTATGAAGGGAAATGGTTTGAGGAGACATTGTTGGTTGTTTACGGTCTGAGGAGACATTGTTGGTTATTTATGGTATGAGGATACATTGTTAATTGTTTATGGTCTGGGAAAACATTTTTTATTTGTTAATCAGTACTTCATCTAAGGGAAAATCATCGCTAGTCTGATTTGCACTCAATTTGTCACAAGTTTTTAGCAACTTGCAAACATTCTTACAAAGAGCGTCAGCAAGATCGTGTTTGAGAATGCATTGTCCAATTTGGGCGTTTTAGATATCCACGAACCAACTTGAGGGGGAATGTTAGCAGATATGATCTATGATAGCCACGATTTATGAAATGACTTACCGTATTAGCATAGAATTGATTATGCTATAGAGTATGCGATAGAATATGCTAATAGAATATGTTATGATTTGATTTAGATTTGATTTAATTTCCTTCCTTATAATATGAGCCTGTGCTCCTTTTATCTATAAATACTAGAGCTGTGAATGAGTGATAATCTCATTCAAGCCTTTACACAATTCTCTTCTTCTTCTTTTTATATTTCTACTAAAAGAATCCATACCTCACGAGCATTAAATCGTTGATGGAACGCCACATTTCACGCCCTACATCCTTTGTAGATTGATCTCTTGCACTTCGTCCACGCCATAACTCTTTGGCAACATATGCAACTTCTTCAATATCTACCTTAAGAAGTGTACAAACCAATTGTGACAAGAAATAAACATATCATTTATTTATAAAGATTAGAAGAATAAGTATTTTAAATCAAAGCAAATTAACAACTACCAGTAGAAAAAAATGAAGGACGGACGACCACTAATCTTACACAGGATGCACAAAAAAGAAAAGAAGTTATTGAAATAACCAAAGTACAAAACACAATGTATGGCAAGACTATTATAAATTGTTTTTAAAAGTAACTAGATGAATCGCACAAATCAGAAATGAGAGTTACAAGAGCCAGAGACTAAGGTGGAGAAGCATCCCACCAGACACCATTCCTATTCCTCGCAAGAAGCTTCTAAAAGCCCACTAAGCTATGAAGAACAAAGTAGGAGAGAAGATAGCCCCATTGAATCACCTTGAACGACCCATCGAGAAGAAAAAAAAGCAATAAGCAATGCACTAACACAAGGTACCAAAACCAACCCTTATCACATAAAACAAGAATTCTCAACATCATCAAAGGGATTCTGCATCTTAACCTTGCAAACCACCCCTGCAATTTCACATTTTAAATGAACACCTACTCGATAAATAAAGAAACTACAAGCAAAATGTGCCAACTCAAAAATTGAATAACATTTGAGTATAGTGTGGATGTGGTCACACTACAGTAGCTTTCACAACAAATTTATATTATTTACTCAAAATGATATTGTACCGAATGGATGTTTCCAAAGGTATTCCCAACCCAAGAATAATGACAAGTTACACCAACTAGAAGACTTCCTCAAAAGACTTCCAGCAAACTGTTTCCAATTGTGAAGGCATGTAATTACCCCCAAAAAAGGAGGGGAAAAAAAAAAAACTTCAAAACCTGTAACAAGATAGGTAGACTAATAAGCTTTGTCTTCCTCTTGTTTTTTTTTCACTGAGGATTCAGCTCGCGTTATCAATTAAAATGATCTTTGTTAGATATGCACACAACAAGGTATGGAATACAAAATGAGTTAAGGGCCCAGATGTAATTCTAGTGCTTCAAGAGACAATTAAAATAAAGACAATGAGAAAGAAGAAAAATTTGTACGAAAATGCAAATATGCAAACCCAAAGGGGTTGGCTCAAGTGGGTAAGTCACTTGGCCCTTGTGCCTCATGAAGCATCGGGTCTAAGTTTCAAGTCCTCTTGGGTGCAAACAATTCCTTGGAGGAGGGGTGTGTGAGTATCAATTAGGAGAAAAAAAATGCAAATATGCATACCTGAACTTGCATGGAGGTGCCATATAATAATTCCTCATGCTCAATAAGGCGCTGATGGAGCATACAGTAGTGATCCGTATCAAAATTCACCACTGGTTCTGTGTGAACTTGCAACCCTGCTAGTTGCGTCACAACATAGGAAGCCATGACCTGTCCAAAAATCGCAGGTATTGTACCTAGAACAGGAATGATGCGGACCCTAAAACCTGGTACTATCTGATATCAGGATTTCGACATATTAGTATGTTGAATCTCAATGCATCCATCATAGGATCCATATACAGTGCAATCTTTCTTTGGGTAAAACATGTGTCATATTACAAGTGAGATAATTAAAAAGCAGCAGCTAATACTTCAAAGGAACACGCAAACATCCTTACTTGATAATCTGAAGGATTTTCTTCTTCTCCACTTGGTCCCTTGAATGGAAGCAACTTTGCCTTGGGTTTTTCTAAAGAAAAAACTACAGGAATGCCACCTTCTATACCATAATCTTTCCTTAAACGGTATCTCACCTACAAAATGGATGTTCCATTGCAAGCTGTATTTAGTGCACAAGTAACATGTAAGAAACACCTGAAGTAAATCCATACGATACAATGAGTATACAAAGGCAGAAGTCAGGTCCTAGATGTTGATACAAGGCCAAGATTCAACAGGAAAAGAGGTTAAGCAATGACATCAATATCTTATACTAAAAAGTTGGCTAATCTGAAAGCAACAAAAGCAGGTATAGCCCCAAAAGCTTTTGAGCTAGGAATCACATAACGGAGTTTTATCATGGCATACAATTTTAAAATGGAACTCTCAAAATGTTTCCAAGGAAGTGCAACGAAATGCGAAGAGGTTTTAAATTCCTAAAATCAAATTAAAGAAGTGAAAATTGGAAATTGAGGGAACCTTTTTGGCTAAAAGGGCATCACTCACTGCTTAAAGAGTTCAAAATATGAAGATGTCTGGTTCACATTTTTATTTTGGAACTAGACAAATATTCATTAACTGGGGAATCTTACAGATGTTCTGCCTAAGTCCCTAAAAGTGGAGCATATACCATGAGTTGTGGGGGATTCACCATCTTTCAAACAGTAAGCTTCCTTGCACAAGCATGAATTACACAGTTTGACAAAGATGAAGGAAACTGGGGTAGTACTGAGATTGTTGTACAGTATTGTATGAGTTGTCACGTTGTACAGTATTGTATGAGTTGTCACGCTGCACAGTATTGTATGAGTTGTCACACGTGTACAGTTAGTATTGTATGAGTTGTCACCTACCCCTCATTACCATATATAGAATTACCATGTATAGGGTTTACTTGTTCTCCACTCACCTACTCCCGTAGCTTCTCCTATATAAACACCATTGTATTATTGTATTACTGACTCACTAACATATACGTTTTCATATATTCTCTCTCTCTCTCTCTCTCTCTCTCTCTTACAACAGCGATGATGTACATGAGAAACATAATTTTGAAAAATCAAATGCATAAATAAGTAATTAAATAATAGATTAAATGGCGATTTTTTCCACTGAAATAAATGCAGTAGAAATGGAAGAAAATGAATTGCTCAAAAATGTAGGTTTAATATGGAGCATGGTCCTAAATAGACCCAGCATGCAAACTAAAATCCACAGGCAGAAATCACATAGATAAATCAAAAAATATAAAGCAAAGTCGAGGGATAAAAGCATTACAGCTCGAGAAAGCGGGTCATTTGTTGACTCTCTTAAATCAGCCACACGGATTCTTGTTGGGTCAGCTCTTGCACCAGCTCCTGTTGCAGATAGGACTTTCAAACCCCTACGTACACATGCAGCAAGAAGTGCCACCTATTACATATATTTCTTAATAAGTAAATTTAACCACCTTGTACATATAATGAAGTAAGCAGTTCATTAAAACTAAAAAGTGAGACCATTTATCAAAATCATAATTCATATGAAACCATAAATGATTATTTCCATAACTGAAATATATGTGCTAAGTAATACATTTTCAGCAGAAAGCCAAGGCATGTACAAATAGAAACCCACCTGCATTATCCAAATATATCAAAAAAGATACAAGGGATCTTAGTCTTTAGATGAGTAGCACACAAGCAGAAACATGCGCATGCAGGTACATACTCTTGTAATAGAAAATGACCAAGCATTCTTTTTTGTGCACATATTCGCATAACAGTGCAATAACAAGTCATGTGCACTTAAAGTAAATTAACATATATCACCAAGGAAAAGCCATATGAAGTACATGTAGATTAAGGTGTTGCCACTTTAAATGATTACAAAGTCATTTTTGTATTTTTGATGTCATGTGCACTTAAAGTAAATTAACATATATCACCAAGGAAAAGCCATATGAAGTACATGTAGATTAAGGTGTTGCCACTTTAAATGATTACAAAGTCATTTTTGTATTTTTGATGGGAAAAACTTATTCAGATTTCAGAACTTATCGTTTCATTGTTTTCTTTTCTCTAGCCTAGCATAGGTAGGCTCCTCCAACCCCCATCCATACTTGGACTTGAACCTTACAACTTCCAATATCAAGGGAGCTTAGGTGTTGCTTGACTATCAATGAGTGGTGATTATACACTCCATAGGCACATATACATTATCACATCAGCAACCTTTTTCTCAGCTTATATTTTTGACCAGATACAACATTAAGAAATGACATGCTTAGGAAGCTACACAAGCTAGTCCAGAATTGTAATTCCAGTGTGGAAAATAATGGTGCTATATAAGTAAACTGAAACCATAAAGAAGTAGCATTACCTTTGTGTCAATGTTATCAATGCAGTCCAGAACATAATCAGGGTGGCCAGAGAGAATTTCTTCTTCTGAAGATGCATCATATAAGAGCACTCTTGCATCCACATGGCACTCTGGGAAAATTGATGAGAAGTGCTTCTTAAGGCAATGGGCTTTTGGGATTCCGACATCATCTCTTGTTGCAACAGCATGTCGATTTAGGGATGAAAGCGACACCTTTTCATGTAATCACAAAATGAATATGGTACACATTAAAGAATATACAAAACCTAATGCATGTCAATCTGAAAGCAAAATCAACAACATTATTAGCTCAGGCAAATGCACTGATAATACAGAAAATTCTTTTATTCTTAGCCTGAATATCTTTAGCTCCAAATTGCAAAATCTTAAGTTAAACTTACTGGTCAGTCAGATGTAGATATTTTACTTCCTCAGCCCAGCTTGCAGCCTTGCATAAATTCAAAGTAAACCCGGAAAATTTTATTTACTGATATCAAATCTCCCAGATTCTTGGGAGAAGGTTTTATTCCCAAAGAAACAGTCCAATATATATGCACTTTTAGATTTGGCATCAATCCGGTACACACATACAACCTGAACTTTAGGTGTTCAAAAACCTTCAGAGATAAATCAACAACTAGTGCGATGCTTTGCTCAGAGATAAATCAACGGCTAGTGCTTCCGGAACAGAGCCTGTAACTGACAATAACATTGGACCCTTTCTATTCAACATATATTTGATTACTAACAAGCTCTGAAAATGTTTTCCTGTTCCAGATTTCCACATAAAAGTCACATGTCCTATATTTTCTTGGTTGTTGGGCTATTTATATAATTGACAAATCATGCTGGTTGTTTTAATAATTTGGCCGTGATAGTTGGATTTGATCGATTCAAGAAATGGGAAAATCAATCAAAGTTTAAATAAGACCCATCTACTACTCCTCTAAGTGTAGTCATATCTAATTGAACCAAAAGCATCTGTGTGCATTCTCACATCATATTCTGTTAATTAAATCATCTAAAAACTTATAATATCGGTTCTGGATAATGAAGAACTGGTTAACAATCACTTTTTATTAAGTCAATCCTCCAACTCTATTGAGAGATTATAACCAAATTAAGCATGAACTGCACTTAACACTGGTTACATTTTGTTATTTTTGGATGATTGATGTTTGTAACTATAATTTTCTTATATAATATGAAGAATTTTAGCAAAAGAAGGAACATAGGCATGGTTCCTTGGAAGTGTAACAAGGAAAAATACATAAGATGGCTCAAACCACTATAAGAACCAAAGCCTCCGTGAAGTCCTTTGTTTTTCTTTTTCTTTATATATTTATTTATTTGGGGGTGGTAGGGGGTTGTGGTTGTGGTTAAGATTGACCTTGAACTTGTTGAAGAGCAACTGCACCTTTTTTAGCCAGAGAAGTAACCTCCAAATTTACTGCTCAAAAGAGTCATCTGACATCCACTTCCAATTATCTAAGCAAACTAAAATTTTCTTAACGAAATGACCATGCCACCAAATTCTTGAACAATCCCATCCAAACTACAAAAACTTAACAATCGTACATTCTCCTAATGACAAATGTTTAGAGGCCCCATCTCCATTCGCCTTTTATTAGACCATACTAGTCGGTTCTGGGGAAGGAAAGATAATGGTCCTTTTCTGGTCCCTAAATTCAGGATATATGTATATATATCAACAGTAGTAGTCAGTCCAAAGTCATGAATAATGTTGGGGCGGGAGGGGGGGGGGGGGGGGGGGGGGGGGGGGGGAGGGTGTTGGGGGAGCAGGAAGGGGGAGCAGGAATGAACAAAGGAAAAGCCAGAAATACTAATTGAACACAAAGTAACAAACTCATACAGGTGGGATAAAACCAAAAACTGGTGCATTAGAACCATTCAAAATGCGAAGGGGTCCATAAGGAGCAAAAAAATAAACCTGATCAAAATCCACAAGAAGGAGCCTTCCAACACCGGATCTTAAGAGCATGGATGCAGCATGACTCCCAACCCCTCCAAGACCAATGACAACCACATATGATGCAGTCACCTTCTGTTGGGACTCAAAGCCAAAGAACTGAATATTCCTAATGCATTCAATAAAGGAATTATATTAAATGTTGCTCAAAGAGAGTTACCGAATAAAATTAAACAAGGTGAGATACTCAAACACCCATCCCCAACACCAAGACATTTTTCTCATTTTACATAACTAAATATTCAACTATTGGACGCATATCCCTGCATCCTAGAATTTGGAATTCGTATATCCGACACTTAAGACACACACAGGCACCAGATATACATTTACCCAAGTCCATGTAACCGCAACATAAAATAAGTAGATACATGTAATACAAGGTTCTACAATCTTAAGGAAGGACTTCGATCTTACAAAAGCTAAAACAAGGTCCCAATATTTCCTTGAATTTTTAATCATTTAGGACCTAAATAGGATTGATTTATATTGTGTACTGTACACATATACCTGGCTGACGTGTATGAACCATCTAAAATGGATATCCACGAACTACTTGAACATGGCATAGGTTATTGCCAAGAAAGTAATTATACAAGGTGTAGGACACGGCCAAGAAAGTAATTATAGCAGTGCCTTTGTTCCTTTGTTCCCCGACTTAAACATGTACAGGAAATATGAATGTGCATGTGGGTATTTAGAAACACCATGAATGAGTTTATTTTCTCAAATTTTGTATAAAAAAAATAGAATTAAAATTTTAGTTACATATAAATGTGAATTCCAGATATATTGCAAATCCTACATACTAGCGTGTCCTGTAAGTCGGAGGAGAAACGAAAATAAAATGGCTAATATTTTCTTTACAGTGCCCAAAACACAAAATCATGTTCGTGAATATGACAACTAAAACAAGAACAAGGAGTCACATTTTATTCAAGTGAACGATATAATAGTGATGTTTCTATGGATAGTTAATGTTTAAACAAAATATTAATGGTCCCATAAACTAGAAATATATAATCGCCTTATAGAAACAACAATTCTTGAATTTGGGAATCAGTGGGACATCTATATCATACTCTTACCTTAAATCCAAGTAACTCACTGCTAATATACACCGAGAGAATGAATGGAAAATGAAAAATGATTATCCGCAATGGGTATTAGGATCCATTCATGTAAAATGTTTGGAGGAGGAGAGGCAGAATAGAAGAGGTGAGACAGAGAGAGTAACTCCCCATATGGGATGAGCACGAGACAAGACTCCCTATTCACAAATCACAAGTGGAGGGGGTATTATTCAAGGCCACACATCCGACCAATGCACATGTGAAGGACAAGGAGATAGAGACACATATCCAATGCATCGTTCTCACAGACAGTAATGTGTCGCAACTTGCATGATCTCTATGATTCTATGGGAGACCAAAACTCTATGGATGTGTGACATATTGATTATTAGTTATCAAATATTTTTAGAGGAGAACCATCGTAACACCCTCGTTCTTTTTTATTTTGTCCGTTCTTTTCTAACTATCTTCTCCAACAGGCAGACCTGAGAACTTAATAGGATCCCCTAAACCAACTAATAAGGACACAGTAATCTAAATTACAGAAAAAGTTCAGTTCACATATTCGATCTCTCATATATCAGTAACATCATTCCTAACAAGGGCACCTTCTACAATGTTTTTCCATTAAATTAAATTAAGAGCATTAATCACTCAAAACTACCTGGTGAGTTGTTCAGAAACTATTTCATCTTCTAGTAAATCTAAACTAGCCATCACATGATTCTCGTCCCGAGGAACATTACAGCCTTTTGTAGCTTTCTCAGGTATAGATCCTTTACCTGTTACAATGATTATGAGAAGCATAAGTAACGTCCATCCTTTTTTCATTTTTGCTTTTTCACTATGAAAATGGGCTTCTGGTCCTTGAAGGGTGAAGTCACAAATCAAAACCATGCAAGTCAACAGATACCCCAAGATCCCAAGAGGCATCAAGTCACTGGGATCCATCAAGGTAATGTTTGTATCAAAATATACGTATACATATGTTAAAATATGCAAATGGTGAAATGTTCACCGAAACTTTAGGGAATGCCAAAAGATAAAGAGTGAAATCAGTAAAACCTGTTGAGAAATCACAAACAATATATGCTAACTTCTAAGTTCTGACTAGGGAGTTAACACCTTGAAGTGTTATATCATGATTAACCATTCAAATTTTAAAGAATTTTCAACTGTAGAAAGAATCAATTATTATTAAGCATGTGATGCAACCTTCCTCTTGAGATTAGATTTCTCTATCTAAAGAAAAATTCTGACAATTTAAAGAAATATGGCCTCAGTTGAGCAAGCTATTTCCAGCTCCACCTTTGCCAAATCAGGTATTACAGCCTCTACCTCAGTGCCTCTATTCCTCTCATCTATGCTATTTGGATAATCAAGCTAGGACAGATCTTTTGTGTGAAGATCCCTAATAAAAAAAGGTTTTTTCCAACAGAAAAAAGCACTTTGCTTGCAATAATCATCTTTCATTCGTCATGCATGCACCTTCTCCTAATTGAGCTGATGAGATTGTGGGTTGTCTATCTATTCAGTAAATTAAGACAATTGTTCAGTAAATTCCAGCAGAATAAATGAAACTAATAGAATTTATTATAGTTCTACATCCTTTTTCAATAATAACATCAATAGCAAGCCCAAATTTGGCATATACAAAGCTTTCTAAGTGGAAAAGAAAAAAAAAAAAAAAAAGCATTCTAACATGTATCCTCGAGTCAAAAAAAGGTGGTGTAATTATGTTGTTCATATGGGTGTAGCCTAGGAATATGTTTTAGCATGCCATGGAAGGCATCTATTAAATCCATATCTGACCACAAAGTTGGTTTTCAATTCCCAATTGGCACATCAAATTCTGTGAAGAGAAGCTGTTGGTCCTGCTTGGTTTGTTACTCCGAAAAAAGTTTTCTGTTTTCAGAGAACTGAAAATCATAATACTGTACAAAAACTCTGTTCAGTTCAATTTTCTAAAAACTGTTTTTTGAAAACTCAGTCATTAAAAAAGGTCTGTTTTCAAAGAACTGTTCGTTTATAGTTCTCTGAAAAGAGTTTTATGTTTTATAAGTTCTTGAGAACTGTCTTTAGTATCCTTTTATTGTTCAATCAATTTTGTATGCACTTACAACCAAAGTTCACACAAGGTTCTAGTCCAAATTTAATTTCAGCACCTGTCACCACATTATTAAACCATGACCTCCAAATGCCACTCTTCGGGAGTTTTGTATTGACAGAAAAATTACATACTCCATTGAAAAGGATATTTGATATAACTTATCATAAATTCAAAAAAAAAAAAAAAAAAATGGAAGGAAGAAAAATAAAACAAAATGAGACAGGAAAGGTCCCATTTTAACCTTTAAGCATCTATCTCAAAAAGTAAGACGAGCTATGGCAAGCTTTTAAAAGCAAATATAACATTAAAAGCTAAAAATTATATTCTTCAACAAGCCATAAGTTATAAGGCAACAATGCAAATAATTAAAAACGTGTAACGAAATAAACATCATTCATTCCATTAGATTTGTAAAAAAACAAATATTTAAATTAAAAAGACCAAAAAAAATTACCACCAGAATCGATTGCCTTTTGACTGCATTCCTTTCCAAACCTTCTGCAAAATACACAGAATCAGTACACCAGGCCCTGCAATTTTAACAAATTGTGCAATAATATATATATATATATATATATATATATATATATATTTTCCTGAATCTTTTCCCTTTCAGTTCAACATTTGGTCACCGGGGAGAAAAAAAAAAAAAAAAAAGGATTAAAAAGAAAGCAAAAATAAAATTTAGGATAAAACTGAACTTCGCTTCAAATCACGCACACTGAAGACACTTTATGTTTCGCTTTTCTTGGAAAATAAAACAAACCCAAGATTCCATGGTCGTTCATTTTCCTACTTTTTATATCGGGAAACAAATGCAAGATTCATATTCGTTGTTTTCAGATAAGTGATTCAAAAACTGTTGAGCATGTGTAGAACTGTGTGTATTCTCTCACCTGGAGAGAAGCTTGAGAAGAGCTACAGTAGTAAAAGAGCCAAACAAAGCCCCAACACCGACCAAAGCCAAGCGCTTCATTCGGTCTTCCATGTCTCTTTTCTCTTTCTGTGAATATGGTGTATTCCTGGCACGCCGACTCTGCCCCCGTTCGAATGCGATCGCGAGGGCTCTTCGAATTATAATTACCCTCTCTTTTTCTTTTCTTTTCTCCACAAATTTATGGAATGGAAAAATGACTCAAAAATAATTTCTCCAAATATATAATACCAATAAAATCACATATAAATTTAATACTTTTTCTTTTTGTCACATATCTTTAGCGATAACCCAAATAAATAAATAAATAAATTTACTATAAAATTTAAAGTGAAAAACTTAACCGGTGACAAATGAGAATTAACCAATACCTTTTAAATATTTATTGGTTAAATTTTTTTTTTTTTTTTTTTTCACATTTATTGGTTAATTCTCATTTGTGATTCATATGAATCCGACCTAAAAAATAGATTCATAATCTTTTTTCAGTCACATTTGTTTTTTGACCTTTTAAATATTTATTGGTTAAATTTTTTTTTTTTTTTTCACATTTATTGGTTAATTCTCATTTGTGATTCATATGAATCCGACCTAAAAAATAGATTTATAATCTTTTTTCAGTCACATTTGTTTTTTAAGTCACATTGTTTATGGTGCAGCAATCTTATTTCTAAATGGATTTGCAAAACATGCTAACAAGAACTTTATGGTGCATTTTAGTTGGGTTAAGTATGAAAATAATTTATTTTATTATACTCTAACAGTAAAATTAAAAATGTTATTTTATTATTTTATTAATTTCAATTATACTCAAATAGAAAATAAAATATAATTTTTTATTATACTCAAAAAGTAAATAAAATTAAAAAATATATTTTATTATGCTAGTATAGTGAAATTAAAAATATTATTTTTATTAATTTTCAATTATAATCCAATAGTAAATAAAATATTATTTTATTATTTTTCAATTACACTCAAACAATAAATAAAATTAAAAAATATATATTTTATTATACTTGAATAGTAAAATTAAAAATATTATTTTATTCATTTTTAATTATAGTCAAATAGTAAATATAATGTTATTTTATTATTTTTAATATACTCAAATAAAAAATAAAATTAAAAAATATATTTTTTATTATACTCAAGTAGTCAAATTAAAAGTGTTATTTTATTATTTTTTATTATATTTGTAAATAATGGAGCCAATTTTTTAAAAAATAAAATAAAAAATTACCAAACATATTTTCTCTTTCTTCTTTTAAAAAATTCAATGTTTGTAATAGTATTTAGTTTTGACAAAAACGGCTGACAATTTTTCAAAATTGCCATTTTCACATAAATGAAATCACAACAACAAATGAAACCACAATTTTACCAAAAGTGTTTAACTAAAGAGTAAAGGTGACAATTCGTGTTCATGGGTCATAATCGTGTCTTATCGATATAAGAGTATTAATCTACTAAACAAATAAATTCAAACCCGACTCATTTAATAATTATGTGAGGGACCCTCAACACTAACATGGTCTATTTATTAAACGGGTTAACATATTAACCCGTTTAAAATATGGTTTCTTTATCAAAACGAGACATTTAATATTCAATTAAATAATAAATACTAGGAAAAAATTGTTACAATTAACCCAAATATTCAAAATGAGAAGAAAAATCATAAGGCGTAATCAATGTTTATGTTGAAATGACTTGACTATCCATAATAATTGAGTTTTAAAAGGTAACATTTTACATAGGTCATGTTCACGATTATGGCATGTTAAATTAAACGGGTTGCATGAATTAAACCCCTCAATCCTAACCCAACACAATTAAATAAATGGGTAAATCGTGTCAACCCGTTTATGACTCGAAATCGTTTAAGGTCAAGCTAAATCTACTTATCTCGTATCGTGTCGTAATTTACCACCCCTACTAAAGAGTAATATTACGGTCTATTTTTTTTTTGCGACTATAATAAAGAGTAGTAGTACGGTCGATTTTTTTTTTTTTACAACTCTAATAATCAGTATCTAATAAAAATTCTAACAAAGTAGTCAATAAAGTAAAGTCTTTCTTCTTTTAATGTATTTAGTTCACTGAATGACGCATCAATCCGTAATAAAAATCGAACGAGACTATTATTATTTTGTAAAATAAAAAATGAGAAAAATAATTTAATTTAATTTAATTTTTATTTCTCTCCTTCACTAGGTCCATGAATCAAACCTAACTTCAAAAAATTTTGGAAAGAAGATATTCTTTTATAACCCTGTAGGAGTTATTGATTTTATACTTATTGTAATACCCCTAATTTTTAAAAGATATTTTTGGTATTTTATTTTTATTTAATTGTCTTTTTATTGGATTAATTGTTTTTATTATTGTGTTGATTATTATTTTTATTATTGTGTTGATTAAATTGCATGTATTTTGTTTATTTGTTAATTGTTAATTATTTATTTGTTTTAATTATTGATTAATTGTTAATTATTAATTGATTGTTAATGATTGTTTTTTTATTTCTTTATTTAAGTCATTGTTATTATATTTCTTGTACATATAAATTTACGTAAGTTCATGTAGCCGGCACTGTTTTAAACCTAGGTTGTTCAATGGGCCGAGTTGTATAAGAATTAGGGTTTAGGATTTAAAAGTCTATATATATGCATATTCTACGTTGGTTTAGGGTTAGAAACAAAACCCTAGTCCTGATAGTCACGAGTGTGAATTAGAGAGATACACAGAGAGCAATAGAGAGAGAGTTCTGAGAGTTTAAAAGGGAGCTTTAAGGAGAAAGGAACGGGGTTGCTTCTGGGTTGAACCAAGAGCACCGGAGGAGGGGGACGGCAATCTAGGACGTTATCGTAAACTTTAGAGACAGTGGATCACAGTTTCAAAATTTGAAACTACGGGCAAGTCTTATTCTTCTCTTTCCCTTTAATTCGTGTTCTGTGCATGCCTATTTAGACTCCAGGGATTAATCAAGCATTAAAACAGATTATATTGAAGTTAGTATCAATCTTGAAAGCATGGTTGAATCGACTGTTAAATCGTTGCATGAATCTGTTTTGTGTGTAGGAAGTTGTTCTGTTAATAATCTGTTCGCATGGTTTTTTAAACTTGTTAGCCTTATGTGTCTTGGAAGGAATACATGATTTTAATTAATTCTAGGACATCAATTGAACTCTAGAATAAGTTATAAAAATTGTACAGAGCCTCTGAATCCCACCGGAGACGAAGAAGATGATCAAATTACGCGCAAACGGGTTACAGGGGGTCACAAGGGAGTAGAGCCGGCTCACCACAAGGGTGGAGCCGCCTCTACAAGGGGTAGAGCCGGCTCCACTTGTGGTGGAGGCGGCTCCACCAAGGGGGGCAGGCGGCTCCTCTTTTATTTTTGTATTTTTTCCACTTTTTGTTTTTTGTTTGGCCTATAGGAAGATTTCTGAGTTGTTCCAGGGGCTGTGGATGGTTTATAAAATTGTTCTAGAGATGTAAAAGGATTGGGAAGCATGTAGTGTTAATTTTGAAGCATAAAATAACCTACAGTTAAATAATACACTGCATGTGGAAGGTTGAACTATATTTTGACATTGCTTACTGTGTTCTATAAGCACTTTGGTTTCTGGCATAAATCTAAACTGTATTCATGTTTCAACTATTGCATAAGTATATACATATATATTCTGGGAAATAATGTAGGTATGCTTAAATGGAAATTAATTGAAGTATAATTAAACAGTATATATCATCAGTTATTGTACTGTTTTGGAGGAGTTATATGTGTGGAGGACTGGAATAGGATTTCTATATCTTATATTGAATGTATAATTGAATCATACACATATTAGATTGGTTGTATGTTGGTTCTGGAGTATAGTTAATAAGTGGTTATTGTGCTATTTTGTTAACTGTGTTGGATGAAGGACTGTGTGCACCGGTATGAGACGGTGGCATACTAGGTATGAACTAAATCGAACATGGTGTTCTACTTAATTTGGATTTAATGGTGGATTAACCAAAACAAGAGGTTAAGTCCATCTTATAATTATGTCATATCATTAAAACGATTGAATGACCTGTGGTGGTTTTATGATGGATTGGTTATACATATATCAAACCACAATACAGATGGTTGATATGTTGTATTAAGAGTACAAGGATTTTATATACATCTTATATGATGCCATGGTATGAGTTTGAATCTCAGGACCATGGTTAGGGCGCGTATATCGCCTAGAATGGATAACTGGACATAGGTGTTGTTCCCTGGTAGGCCTAGGTACACATGACCACATTATTGTGCGATTTGCATGGTATCTCTACTCAGGCTGAGACAGACCTACTGGACTAGTGAGCGTCCTATAGTGTGTACTATATATATACATATGGACTACTCTAGATATTGTTGAGTCTTCCTATAATGTATCTACGTATTGGATTACTGTTTGGATCGTAGTAAAATAGGACTTGCATTTGTGCTTGACCCACTCTCTTATTTTTCAGGTGTTCGTCAGTTCCAGGGTTAGACCTTGGACGTGCAGAGCAGATACAGACATTCATTCTTCCGACTACGTAGGAATCTTTGCTATGTTTACCTTTAGCTTTTATTTCAGATGTTCTAGTTTCTTTTGGGATTTTGATAAGGGGTCCACTAAATGGATTCCCGAATTGTAACTTATGGAGTTTTGGAGTTTGGATTTAACATATTTCAATAATTATATTTTAAGGATTTTTAATTAGCAATCTTTCAGCTTATTATTTTTATTTCTTATTTCGTCTTGTATTCTGTGTTCGGTTACATATTAATTGTTTGATATCCCTCGGGTTTGAGCCTGGGCCTGATTAACCCGTGTCTCGGATCCGAGGGGTATCACACTTATAAATAATATTGATAATATATCTAGCATGGTCTACAAAGAATATTTCTCTTCCACATCACAAAGGGCTTGTTTGACATTGCCATTGTAATGGGGAAAAAAAAAAAAAAAAATAGAGAAAAAAAATAAGTGTTTTTTATGAGTAGAGCTGTCACAAAATTATCATAAACAAAAGTTAGGTTAATTATTTAGTTATGCATTATATAAAATGTTTTTCATAATTAAAGTAATTTTATATTTTAGTGTTAGATTACAAGTTTACCCATTTATCTACCACATAGGTTTATTGCATACTACAAATTCCCATATAT